GCTTTTTGTTAGCATCTTTTTAGGTTGAAGCGAGTGAGCTGTTTATCTACAGAAGCAAAGTCGGATACTGGACTTATGTTGGCAGGCGCCATATATAAGATATCCACCAGAGCTATTGTTATCCGAAAGAATAATACCCACTAGCAATCAACGATACGGTCCAAACAAATAAAGACTTTGTACTAAAACACTGGGCTCATTGATGAAATTATAATCATAAGGAGGATACACCTGCTATTTTTTTTGTGGAGGCTTGTAGCTAGACACACCGCTTTGCGGTGTTAATCAATCTTCGGTGAGAGTAGGTTTATGTGTCGTACAATATGCTGTGCCAGCCTCAATCACAGTTCGTCACAGCAGATATGTAATGCATCACACTGACAGATATACGCACATGGTTTCGGATTGTCTCCGTGATTGTATAGCTTATCTTTAAGTCCAGGGGCTGTGCGACCTTCCTAGATGTCAAGCTACCACATCCGGAATCTCTGGCACTGGCTTAGAATTCTCACGATACAGAGAAGAGCGCGGCGCCTGATAGAAAGTATATTGTCTCAACCCAAGAAGTTAACTAGCCTTTCACACACCGGATTACAGTGCGCGTTAAATCGCGTGAGAGATGGATCAGGGCTCGTCCAACCTGCCTCCTTGCGAGGCAACGCTCATCACAGCTGCACAGACATGATGGCTAGATAGCGTTACTGAGTGCGCTTCTAAGATAAATTGAAAACACATACGCTTTCAGTGGAAAAACATTGTTCACTATCACCCATAACCACGAAAGAGACTTCGACGTTCTGATTCCTTGCACAACCGCGTCCGATATGCACCAGCCACAAATCTGACAGCCTACTGCAATCATACGCACATCCATATAGGAACACGAATGCCATGAACAACAACACGCAACTATAAAACAAAATCATGGCCTCAGTACAACTATAATACAAAAGTTATTTTCCAGACTTCAAAACACACTGCAAGTCCTTGAAATGCTTAAAGTTCACTATGAATGTGAGTTCTAATTTATTCCATTAACTGTTTTGTTTTTAAACAATATATGATTGCCAAAGATACAGCAAGCCGCTAACTACAGACCTACGTACCCACAAGCACATGAATTTGCTCCCGTCAATATCTGCAGATTAAAACACCCCAGTTGAAATCCTAAATAAAGAATGAATATGAGCCCGTGCCTTTCTAGAGCCCTCTCTTAACGCTTTGTTAATGACTGCTCGCTACGCTCTATCTTAAGATTGGATAGTCAAGAAGCATCTACATGAAAAGACTGGAGTGTTTTTGTAGTTCCCTCCCACCAATCATTGTCTTTACTGTGATATCTCTTGCGTTCCCACATACGTGCGTTTTTCACATACAGTGTTTCAGTCAGCACACTGTGTCTGCGTACAACCGCCTCAATGTCGACATCAATCACAGTGAGAAAACCTCCAACGCCCACCACAAACGCTTTCTGAGGAACTGGACCATACCCAAACAAACTGGCTCTGCGCTCATGGGTCGGCATAAAACGCCATAAAATATGCTTAATCCAGCCAGTAGTTGTTGATCATTCGCAGAATTACACAGATACCAGAAACAACCAAAATATTTATATAGCATCCAATCCAATCGACAGACAAAATCCATCTGTTTGACTTTCAACATATGAGGTGATGATATCAGTGTACTGACAGTACTGACAATAAATGAAAAGCAAATAAAAGGTTTTACCCTAAATGTACCTTAAAAGATCGCAATGATTTTCTCTCGTAATATAAAAACTTAATTACAGCAATGGTGCCGTTCGTTGGGGACTGACAAAGACAACAAACTACAACCCAGCAATAAAACAACAATAAAATACCAAGCAAACATCATGCTACCAAAGCAGCACCTGGCTGCAAAACAGTGATTTAATTAAATCGAATAAGTAAAAAAAGAAGTAAGTTACATATATATTAATTCAGCCATTTAAAAAACAGTCCATATTAAGCCACGTTATGTTAGTTACCGTTTGACAAGTTGGCCAGCCATATAGATGATATCGGTTGGATAATTAATGTACACGTTACTGATGATCGGATTCTCCTACATCATGAGGTTTCCCATAAAAACTGACTGACTTTATCTTTAAAACTTTATCTTAACCAGTTACTAGGGCAGTACATACGATAAGTTCCAACTAACACAACAGCAACCATACAAAACTCATCACGTCCCGCTAAACCTAGAAAAAATACACAATTGTGTAAGCACTAATAGGCTGCATGTTCAACCCCAAACACTCCAAACTAATTGTACACACCTGGTCCTTCAAACCCGCTACCTAACCCCCGTAAAGGTCACGCTAGACCCGAAACCCTAATCCACAAGGACTCCTTAATGTAAGCCAGCGGTAGTTATTGCCAGGGGCTCTTTCTTGGTGCTTCGAGACAGCTGCAGCAACTTCTATCTAACTAACTGCGTAACCTAACACAGTACATATTAGCCATGCACCAACTTACCTGCTGACCGCTTTTGCCTCCGGCCCTTCGCCCTCACCATTGTCTGCTCACAAGGCTATGCTGGATTGTTATTCCTCTATCACTAGCTACTATCTCCACAACCAACACCGAGTAGCGTACGGATTTGCGGCTTTTGAGAAAGTGTCTATAAGCATCATTTAGTTGGTCAATGGTAAAGAGACGTAAAAACAGTGACAAGATTGAAAGGGAAAATAGCATTTTGTTGAGGGGGGAGTTACAGGGATGTTCTGTAACTTTTCAATCCAAACGGAGGGTTTTCTCCACTATGGCAGGAAGGGGTCGACCTTCCACAGAAGAAAAGAATATCTCTCTGAACACCTCAAGCGCCAGCTTCCACCGGTTTATTCCCTCACCTGGTCGATAACAAAACGAGCTTGTCCCCTTTCTGTTCTGGATCTCCGCCGCTGACTCTCTCCGGGGTATCAGAATCAGGTCCAGCCAGACGCCGTTTCTCTCAAACCCCAGCTTTGTCCCAGCAGCATCCGTTCTATTGCCTTCTCTGCAGAACCAGGTCCTGATAATGCCCCATAGCCGATGAAGTGCTCCCGAATGTGAAACAGCCACCTCCATCGCCTGGACACGTTGTCTGCACACACCTCTTTTTCTGCAGCTCCGGGGATGAATAGACAACCTCTGTCGCCGTTCCCCCCGTCTGGCCAGACACGTCGGGCAGCCTTCTTGGTTTGCTCGGAGAAGCAGCTTTATATTACAATTAAGTGATCTGTCTCTGTTAATCTCACCTGGAATGATGGGTTTACGTAGGCTTGTACCACACACGGATTCCTCATACAATTCTGCTCTCTCTGTTGGGTTGACACTAAGAAACCTGGAAGTCCGGTTCTTTCAGGTACAGAAGTGGAAAGTATTTGTTACCTCTTGCTTTGGTGTGCAGGTCCACTCAGTAATGTGAGCGAGATGTCTCCTATGTATGCTTCTCTATCCCTCCCCAAATTTGATATTTAAACTTCGCATGGAGGCAGCACCTCATCCGAGGGCACCAGACGTCACCATTCGGTCAAGCAACAAACACTCAACGATAGAAGGAATGGGAGATCAAGGAATCAGCACGGGCGGCCTGTACGAACAGCAAGAACCAGTTGCTCGGACCGGATCAGGTAGTGAGTCCTTCATCCCTTGAACGTTACACGCGAAACCTGAAATAACACCTCGAGATATTCACTGCATACCACTGGAAAGTTTCTGTTACATTATGAAGTAGTGACGATGTCAAGCACCTGGAGTCCCGCTCATCTCCTCCACATGAGGACGCAACGTGAAAAGAATCCACCATCCACGCTGTGGAGCGGCATCTCACGAGTGGGCCAGATGAGCTGAACACATAGACTGCTGCACCACATTTGCATGTCAAACAGGGGGTCCTGCCAGGCTTGCTTTGCGATGTTGGCAACCAGTAGCCTCCCTGCTCTCCAAGGGACACATCCTGTAGACCACGTCCCCTTATTCCCTCCGCATGTGGAACAGCAGACCTGTCCACACCTGCACTGAGCGCGGTACCACGGCCTCGGGGCCAGAAGCGCATCGCGCGCGAGCAGCACACAGACCTGCTAGCTTTCATACGTTCTCCATCAGCAGTGATATCAGGTGTAAACTCCTCAAAGCTTTTTTTGAACAGCATGTAGGTAAGCCTCTTTGCTCCTGTAAGAGGTTCTTGCTTGTCTGCAGAGGTCTCCGCTAGACCTCAGTCGACGGGAACGCATGTGAGAGCGAGACAAACCCGCTGGAGTTCTCTTTGTACGTCGGCAACCCAGGAATCTGCAGGAGCTTGTTCTGGAGGTCAGAACGGGTTGCGCCAGG